GTACGTGTAGCTTTGAACTGAGGCGGTTTCAAAAATAGGCACGCTGTGGACCCATCCCATCCAAGAACTTGAGGTGGAATGAGCTATTCAAAGGTGTTATTTCTCTTTTTAGTCAGTCATTTGATGTGGCAGTAGGAGGTGAAATATTACGAAATTGCTCACGTATGCTTGTCATCTTTATGCTCCCTCCCGAAAGTACCTATTGCCTGTCCTAGATTGCTCGGGGCATTACGTAGTTCATCTTGCAGTGCTAATAATGATATGCAGATACCGGCTCTTGGTGCAGCCTCAGTTAATATTAAAGCGGTTATATATTGTTTACTGATAAAGGCAAACAGTGTGTTGTTTGTTTATATTGAGTTGTTCATTTCCAAACAGAAATGCCCCGCCTTTAAGAACAGAAAATCGTCTCATAGTGGAAAATTTGTCTTCCCGAGTCAGCTGGCAGGTTTGTTGAAACACGATTAACTATTTTGATTTCATTTAAAGGATATATTATGTAATGTAGTTTCTTTGTAAAATAATTAATTAAAATTAAATCTAACTTATTAAAATGTTTATGTAATTAATGTGATTTTTTAATGTAATATAAATATTTTGAATGAAAAATAGTTAATTTAAATTTATAATAATAATAAATTTATATATTTGAGGATATATATTTACTTTTTTCTTGTTTTTAAAATCCATTTTAACCACATATTAAACCCTTTATTTGCCAGCCTATCTGTGTCGTTGGCCTTATGACGAGGAGTGCCTGTGGGTTATCCTAATCGTTCTGTCTTGGTCACTCTTGGTCGGGCCTGGTTGACTTTCCAGTCAGCTCCTACAATGTCACTTGGCCACCTCTAGATCTGTGTTTGCCGGTCTAGACGTAATCGATGCACTCCTTAAAGTGCCACATTGCAGCGATCCCAGAGCGTTAACGAGATCTGATTCCTAAGTTGAGAGCTGTTCTTCCTGTAACGCTTCCGAATAACGAGGTCCTGGTCGAAAAGAGTTGAAAGATACGAAATTAGGTGGTCGTTGGAATCCTGATCGCAGTAAAGTGGTCCTTGGTGACATCGAGCGTAGAGAATGTCTGGATCCATCCATAGTCTCCTGATAGGGAGGGCAGTGCGATTAATGGCTTCCATCGACTGGGTAGTGTTCGTCAAGTGGGTGGCGAAGAGCCAGTCGGGCATATGTCATGACGGTATCTCCGGTCGCTTAATGCAGTTTGCTGCTTGGCTAGCCTAGGGAATTGTTAATGAAGGTAAAGTAAACTATATTTTTAATGACATATGGGGCACAAAATAATTGGTGTTATGTAAATGTAATTCTATATTTGTATAAGATTTGTAATGTAAATGGAGACTGAAATAGTCCAAAAATATATGGGTAGTATTTCACACTCAGTCCCGTATGTATACAAATGTGCTCTTCTATTTCTTTCTCTCTCTCTCTTTCTCTTTCTTTGTTACTTAATCTGTAAAATCACTGTAGACTAATATTTACCTTAATGTTAAAACACTTTACTAGCATTTTGCTTAAAGCAATATGCTTTTTTTCATTTATTTCGTGCCCTGATATAGATAATTCAATATTGATAGAATACAAGTATGGCAGTTGCCATGTTTGTGATTTACCTAACATCTTCTCTTTCAGTAGTCATAAGATTCTTTTGTTTGTTTTAAACTACTTTTGTATAGATAAGTAATAATTTCACTTCAGTGCATAACATAAGTGATCTTGTGTTAGGATCTCAAAGACTTCATGAGACAAGCCGGGGAAGTAACCTTTGCAGATGCACATAGACCTAAGTTAAATGAAGGGTAAGCTTCTCCAGTCACCTCTTGAAAGCTGTAGAGTAATCCCTGTATGTGTAATATTTGGGGGAGGGAAGGTGGCTACTTTCAGTGTCAGCAGCTGTTCATGGTTTAATTTCACTACCCTTTGAAAATGCATTCAGTGTTTAGGGAGTGGACTTTTTCATGCTTCAGTGATGATAAGGGATACTTACACTGAGCGGTGTGTTTTGCCGTTTGGTTTTGGGTTTTTGTTCATTTTTCTTTCCCTGCTTTTTCACCGTTGTAAATTGTGCCTGGGTTTATAAATAAATACAAGTTTATTTATAATATAAGTTATAAATACAACTTATAATAGTGATCTTTGTGTTTGGGAATTTTTTTTTCTGTTTTCTGTAGGGTGGTTGAATTCGCCTCTTACAGTGATTTAAAGAATGCTATTGAAAAGCTTTCTGGTAAAGAAATTAATGGAAGGAAAATCAAACTAATTGAAGGCAGCAAAAGGCACAGGTATGGATTTCTGTTCTCTTAAATAACGCTTATATATTCATGGAGAATATTTGAAGTCAGTGACCAGGCAGTCGAACTGGAGCCCAGTGAATTGCCTGGTTATTGCCGTGGTCCGTGGGGTTTCGTTGCTCACACTGTTCTCTTCGTTTCCTCAGTAGGTCTAGAAGCAGGTCGCGGTCGCACAGCAGGAGCTCATCGGGCTCTCGTAGCCGTTCTCGTTCGCGCAGCCGCAAGTCTTACAGCAGGTCACGGAGCAGGAGCCATAGCAAGTCTCGGTCAGTTAGTAGATCTCCAATGCCAGACAAGAGCCAGAAACGTCATTCTTCCAGCAGATCAAAATCTCCATCATCTGTGGATCGGCAGAGGTCTAGATCAAGGTCCAGATCTGTTGACAGTGGCAACTGAACTATTAAGTAACTTGCCTTGGGGGCTCTTTTTTAAACCATACTTGCTAAAACTTGTGGTAAGTATGTGACTTTCTGTAGGGAAGGGTTTGGATGGGGAGGGGGGGAGGGATGGGAGAACTTTGTAGATGTGGACCATGGTGGGAAGGGTTATTGACTAATTGTATTAAATGTTTTTTCATAACCCTTTTCTTGCTCACATTTTTTGTGAATGTCTGAAGTGTATAGTTTGTGTATATTGGCAGAGCTCTTTATATAAAACTAAAGCAGACAAATTTTTTTGTACTCAAGAAAAGTCATCTGAACGCTCAATTCTCAGTATATTCAACTGTGAATAGCAACTCAAAAATATTAGTTTAATTATCAAATTAAACTAATAGCTTTAGGCATCCAAGAGCTCTATATGTGCTGTACATAAAGCTTTATTTCAGAAGGTATTTTTTTGTGCTTTTGAGATGTTTCAGTTATAGGTCAGCAGATAAGTGCTGGTTGGTACTGGTAATAAAACTTTTATTTTAAAATATTTTCATTTATTATGACTTGCACTACACTAAGAAAAAGCCCATTTCACTGCCCTGTGGTAATAATATTCTATGAAGCACTCTAATTCTTGATACCTAAGAATGAAATAGCTCAAATAAAATATAAAGAAACATTTCTGTGTCTGGTTTGTTCTTAGTGTTAATAAAGTGTTTGTACTTGCATTACTAAAATGTTTCTTAAAGATGGGTCTGTGGCAAAGTGATGACTGTTTCGGGCGTGGGGGAGAAGTGGTGTCCTTTGAAATACATCATTTGATGTCCTTGGATGTCTCTGTGTTCTGAAGAATAATTATGCTGTCGCTGCTCATGGCTAGAAGTGGAACAGATGAGTCATTTAGCTTTTAATCACTTTGGAGAATAAGCGTGGAATGTTAAAGATGGATGTGGGCAGCATACTTCATTAGTGTATGTATGCAGATGCTTAAGAGAACATTGAGATAAACCGTATTTTTAGGCATTAGTCCTCATTCTGGGGCAAGAGGCATTTTTAAGTTGGGGGGTGGGAGTACAGCAGTGGTACCCTGAGGATTTGCACTGTAGTGTTTGTGCCTTCTCGGGGGCAGCAGTTCTCTGCACTCCCTGCTGTTCTCAAGCCCTCACCCACAAGAGAGCTTTAGAATGTAATGTTAAAAATAATGTTTTCTTTATAGAAAAGTGCTTTACGAAGGTATTCTAGTAATCTGCTGAAGCCTTTAAAAATATCCTTGTAGCCTAGGCTGGGATTTGGATCGATCATAGGAAATGCAAGGGGATTCCTTTCAGAACGCGTTCTTGCTTCTGCAGCCCTGCTACCTTCTCTCCATGCTGTCACAGTCTTTTGTGTACTGAGGTAATGGAGGGAGGAGTTTATGTGCCTTGCAGATCGATCTATTAAGGTGTTCCAGCGACTGCTGGGAGCAGGCACAGAGCGGGGCTTAGATCCATACTTAAGTGGATTGTTACTAGTCAGCTTTGGAGAATGGGAGGCTTCGTTCTCAGAGGCTTGCGATCAGATGCTGGATCACCTCAAGAGGTATGGAAGAAAAGGGTTTTAACTTCTGGGGATAAAGGCAGTGTTGACATGGGGATGGAAGGTTAGCTGTGTTGAGACCTTAAGTGAGTTGATCCTGCTTACTTGGGTTGATGATGGGCATCTGTATCCAAGTGGGACTTGGTTTCAACTGGAACCCAAGTAGCTGAAGGCACCTGATAATGGGAAAGGGGTGGATGTCACACTCAGGCTAAACATGAAATGCTGTCTTCTCTATAAATAGTTCTGAATTCTGTTTTCTAAACTGCACTGCTTACTTGCCTTGCAAGTGGTGTGAGCAGATTTTTGCATTTTCCCTGGGGAGCTGGCTGTTGTGATGAGGAGCTTCCATTTTAAAACAAACTCTGCAGTTTAAAACAGGCTCTGCATTATGGGGAATTATGTTGACTTCTGGCCAGAAATGATTCTGTGTTATATAGTGTAGGTTCTTGGCATGAGCCTGTTTATACGGATTACTTGAGTTTACAATGTGTACTTTGGGCATTGCAGGTGTTAGTGCCAATCTTCAGGAGCGTTGCTGTGTGTAGTGTGACCATAGCTGGGTGGTGGTGTCATCAGGCGGGGTGTTGAGTGCACTGAGTCTGTTAAAAAGAGGTCCATTCAAGGGTCATTTGTTCTCAGAGGTTCGGCTTGCTGGGCATTGACTCAACACCCTAAAGCAGCCATCCATGGTCATGGTTTTTGTGGCCTCTGCTGCGTGGAGTTTGGAAGATGGGAGTGACCAGCAGTCCACAGGCTGCACGGCTGTGCACTGAATCTTGCTGGTTTCTGCACGGAGAAACTTTCACACTTCGTTTTGGGTCTTTTTGTCAGAGAAAATACATTAATCTTCAGTGATGTCTTCAGCAGCCCCTTCCAGCGTGTGCCAGAGGGACAGTTACAGGTAAGTGAAATTAAAAAAGGGAACTGGTAAGGGCAGTGATTTTCATAGAGGCAAAATGAGGGGCAGTCACTTGGGAGCATGGCCCTAAACTGTCTCAAAGAGTTGTCAGAATAACTTGGAAGTCACTGAATGTCTCCTTTCTGGTCTGGCAGGAAGAGGCTTAGTCTGGAGCAAGGTTCTCAGAAAACAATAAGGTGGGTGCAGTTAGCTCTGTGGCAATCTCTTTATCTGGTGTAAAATGAGCATATAGATCAAAGTCCTACACAGAACTGTTGGAGACCTGTGAGCTGGCTGCAGAAGGTGGAGCTCAGAGGGTTGTGATAACATCTGCTGCTGCAGAATCCATCTATTGTTTCCCTGGTTTCCCACTGTTTCTGTAGGGTCTTGACATGGTTTTGTTTCTTGAGCAATAACTGTGTCCACACCTGCAGAGATCACTTACGCTGCATCTGAAGAAAGAGAAAAATGTGAGAATAAGCAGTTCTGAAACCAGGTTATGGAAAGATTGTGACACAGCTACAGTTGGTACTGCTGGGTGATGTAAAGCAAGAGGAAGGAACTTAGAACTCCATCCAGAAGACTGAAGCCATGTTGTTTTCCAGTGATTTATGATTCAGAGCCTAGAAAGCCACTATTTTTTAATCGTAGTCTCATAACCACCTGCACGGCTGTTTTGAACGTCAACTGCTTTGCACTGAAGGCGTACCTGAGGATCCAAGTGAGGGTAGGTTTTTTTCCCCATTGGCAGTTACCCTTCCGCATAGCTATGAAATGTGGTAAAGTGATCCTGCAGCAGCTCTGTAGCAGCTACTCTGCTGCTTCCTTGTTCCCAGGGACTGCAGAAAGCTGGACTGGAAACATCAGAGGGGTGACTGGTAGAGGATCTCATTAGGCAGTGCATTTTTCAGCCATCGTTGCACATAGACAGCTGAGCTTTGGTATTATGGACCTGCTGAAGTTGGAGAAGAGTCTACCTTACATTTATACCAATATTGTATATATTTTTAAATTAAGTTTTGAGCTCTTTATGTACTTCTCTAGCAAAAGATCCAAATGTTTCCTTCCTTCAGCTGCAATACTTGGCACTTCTGTCCTCTTCTTCCTCTCCCCACTCCAAAAGTGACACCATTCAGAGACTTGTTTCTGTAAATCAGCAAATAAGAAACCCCTAAAACTCAATTTGTGAGCATTAGCAGGCAGGCATTCCTTTATTATCAGCACTGGACACACAGGATGATAGCTCCTCTAATTGTGCGTGTCCCATTCTCGGCTTACATATTCAGTAAATGTCTTACATGTTCACTACTTATAAAGTTCACACATGTTAATTAGCTATCTCCATTGAAATCTCAGAGACACCATGATGATGAAGAGGACCATGACAAGGATTGCATTCAGGGCTTTGTCCGTGGCCTGCTGGCCAAATGCAAACAGTGGTGCCATACTGGTCGATGAGGTTCTTTGCACACGATCCAGGCTCCAAAACTGAGCTCTCAAAAGCTCCCTCAGTTTTGTTCACTCTACTAAAGGGTTTAGAGGTCCGTTCTTCTGTAAGTGGCTGGGAAAGTGAAGGAAGGCTAGAAGTGCAAATAATACCCAATTAATTCAAGGGAAACATGAGCTCTCAGGACACTGCTCTTACCATTCAGCAGCTGTTGAAACAAATACATATTTAAAGCAATCAGCCATGAACTCCATTCACTTGAGAAATATGCTGTGCAGTTTGTGTAGCTTTTGCTCTGGTCTCCCACCTCCTCCGGCGACCACCCTCACAATGAGAATGAGAACATAGCTGGTGGGAGCAAGAGGGAGACCTGTTCAGAAGTTATGAAGATGGACACTTCATACAAAGGAAAACGAACCAGAACTCTTGTCCACGAGATATTGGTAAGGCCAGTGCTTAAAAACATGATGCATCCAGGGTACTACTTTGTTTTTAATGAGGGTTATAAAATACTTATTCCTCTGGCCATAAATCAGTATCTTGATAGGAAGTCTGGGAAGAAACTGCTTCCACAGGTGAGTCATTTCTCTAGTAAATTCTTAGGGGCCTTTATGTCTCTTTTCCTGATGTGCTAAGCCGGACACTGTCTAGAAATTTTTTGGTTGTATATAGGAATTAATTCTGCAAGCCTTAATATCCAAAATACTATTCTGTCTTTAGCAACGAGGGGACGTTCTGCATAGCAGGAGCCTCAACTGACCTCTGCAGTGCAGGGCTGTGCTCAGTGGGCACAGCAGTGCTTTCTGAGGCACATGGTGCCTTCAGCATCATGATGCAGCTGGGGCTCCAGACATCACCTGAGTTCTTCAAGCAAATCCAAATAGGCAGCTTTTACCCACCCCTGAGCGGTACCTGCATTGTGCTATCAGTACAGGGCTGCATGGCACGACATGCACTCCATGCTCTGGCATGGAGGGAAGCAGGAGCTGGGCAGCTGATGCTGAGGAAGGAAGAGGGACTAGAAAGGTAGTTGATCCTCTAGCTGCTGCAAGGGTGACTGCTGATCATCCTGCTGCTGCTCCACCCCTGGCTGCACAGGAGATGTGCTTCCCTATGCCTGCCATGCTAGGGAATGGCACATTGCCTGCCCTCTCCTTAGGTGCCCTGCTTCCTGATCTCTTCCTCCGGATTTTGCCTTCATTTAAGACATTTATTGCCTTCAAATTGTCTCTAGGTCCAGGGAGAGACTCAAAAAACAGAGAGCTGAACACATTAGACTAGAGAAAAGTGAATGCCATTACCTCACATGCCTGTGGATGCAGCTGTAGGAGGCTTCAGTCAAATCACCCACTACTCCATCCCTTCCTGATTGAAGTTGGTGAGTGATAGCACTCTTCAGTCCTTCTGCATCAAGAAAAAGTTTCCCCTTTGGTAAAATCTTGTCCTCTGCTTGCAGAGTATAAAACCTGGGTCTAAAAGAGCCTCACAGATAGGGAAGTTGTTATAGGATAGTTGTGTTACAGTACTGGGGAAGGGATTTTAATCAGGGAGGTTTGCTGCCCTATGGCTAAGTTCTAATCCCTTTGTTGAAGGGCATTATAATGCTGCAGTAGCATGTCCATTGCTCCTATTCATCTGGGAGCTCAGTAGGCTCAGCTTCTCCAGCCCTATTGCTCTGGAAACACTGCTGGCAGCAGGAAGGAATGTTGGAGCTGGTCTCCCTGTTCCTCCCCACTCAGTCTTGCTTTGGTTGGGAACTTTGTTTTCCAGGCTGGCAGCCAGGCTAGAAAAGCCCCAGCAACAGCTCAGGAGCCCAGGACGGCATCCCTCATCAGGCGGAGAGGAGCAGTGCCTGCAGCTCCCAGCAGCTCTGCACATCCATGCCCAAGGCTTTTCCTACACCTTTGTGAGTACCACACTGCCGTGCTTGGAGACAAGGGCCCTTCCCCGTAAATCACTGGTTTTGTCTCGAGACTTCTGTGTCACTGACTACTGCCTGACCTCGTTGCTGGGCCCTGGCTGAGCAAGCAGGAGGAGGTCGCCTACAGCACTGTATGTTTCATTTTTCCTTGGGCATCTGCAAGATTTCTATACATAAGCAAGGGCTGCCAAAGTAGCATATGAGCAAGAACCATAGGAATTAAGAGAAAATGTGGGAGCAAAGGCCACAGCAATTCCTTATCTCCTTATACTCCTCCCTTCAGGTTTTTCTTTCCTGCAAATCCCCAGCCTTCCTAAGGAAATTATTTGGTTTTCACTGTATTTGCCTTTTAGCTGTGCACCCAGTATTGTAAGAGCTGAGGAAAGGGTCAAGACAAGCAACTAAGTGTCACTGCCCACTGCCTCAGCAGCACCCGGAGCCCCTTCCTCCCTGCAGCTCAGGTTTTTAAAAATTACAATGTTCTAATGCTCTCACCTTTGTCTTTGCAGGGCTGTAGAAAAATATTTCCACTACCCTGATAGTTAAAAAAATGCCTGCTAGTTGTTTATTGTTCAAGCATTCCTGCTGCTTCCCTGTAGTTAATGGAGGAAACGCCACGGGAGCCAAGGGAGAAACTGGCAAAGAGAAGCAGAATAAATTAATATCATTGTTTCACCCTGGCCCCATCCTGGGACATCCAATTGTTTCACATGGGCATTGGAGCTGGGGGTTTGCATTCAGGTATGGCCAAGAGAGTTGGATTTCGGCTCTAGAGCTGCTGCTCCCTTTGGTGCAATGTGGGAGGTGGGATGGCTGAAGGGCATGGCTGGAGAAAGGAGCATTCTCCCATGCAGTGGGCCTGGGTGTTGCGTGGGCATACTGCTGGTAGCCTGCCAGGGCTGCTGCTGACCTACCTCTGCTCAGAGGAGGCTTTGGCCTCGGAGAAGCTGCCTGTTTCATCCCTAGGCAAAGCAAGCCTTTTCCTTCCTTCAGCCGCTTCCTGGAAGGTCTCAGTTCCTAAAAGGTAAACTTCCAGCTGTTCTTCAGGCGCTGTCCGCTTCTTCTCTCTCAACTCCTCTGTGCTCCAGCGGCCAGCCCCCGGCGCAAGGGCTCTGCTCTGCGCGGAGGGTCCTGCCCGGCTCCTGCCGCTGGAGGGCAGTGGCCGCATGCCCAGCGCCCCGAACCTCCGCGAGGGGAACGGACCTCCCAAAACAACAGTCTCACCCTAGATTCCTTAGGGCGCCTTTATGAGGTCAGATAGTCCCAAATTCAGAGAAATGGCCTAATACAACAGGCACTTAATACAACAGGCCACTTAATAAACCGGAGGCATTAAAGGAGGTATTTAAAGAATGAACAAGAAAACGTATACAAGTTTGCAGGCTTCCTGTTGGAGCTCAAAATGAGGCTGTGTTGTGGACTTTCTTTTTTTAAAAAGGAGTTAGTGGTTCATGCTTTCACAATGCAGCTTTATAAAATAATCTGGTAAATACAAAATGGCTTATGTGCTTCTTTCAGTGGTGGGGAGCTGAAGCCCAATTTTCTAGTTTACGGCTGCGATCATTGTCTCTTCTATGTTTTTACAGAACCTGTATAACTTGAGCTCAGTCCTGTGGTTGCCCAGAGGCTCCGTTCCATCAGATGTGCCTGACAGGAGCAGTGGTGTTTGATTTATGTCAGATTCCACGCTCTGTTGGCCCACAATACCAGGCACGACTTCAACATCTTATGTCCATATTTTGCTCAGGTAAGGTTTGAGAAAACAGTGAGAACTGTACAGTTATGTGCTTGGATAATCAATTTGCTCATTTCGGTGTGATTTTGAGTAAATTTGCCCACCACAGCCCTGCCCACATGTGGGCACTATGCTGGAGAAACTGTCAGGGAATGGAACAAGGAGCTTCTTCAGAGATCGTCATGATTTGTCATGATTTGTTCCAGCTGTGTCTCCCTCCCACCACAATTTTCTCCATATTTTTTCCACTTCTGTCATCACCTGAGGATGCGTCTCATTTAAATAGGAAGTCTTCCAGTTAAAATCCTGGTCTGTTCTGTCCTGTCCCAGGAAAAGTTCTGTGTTTGGAGTGGTGGTGTCTGAGCCCCCTGCAAAAGGGTGAGTCATGAAAACAAGTTGAATGGGCTGGTCTTGAGATGCAAATCATTCACCACCTAACATGGAGCACTCTGGGCAGAAGCTGCTGTGCAGCACTGGCCAAGGTCAGCTGTAGCCTGATGACATGGTGATGGCCACACTCCCCTCTCTCCTCATCCCCATGCTGGGTGCTAGTGTGTTGCCACACCAGCTCCATGATGAGAGGGACTATCTGGCATGTCACAAGGAAGGGGCACATATGGAGGGTGGGCTGGAGAGGCTCCCCCAGCTCTGGATGGTCCTACAGGGCTCCCTGCAGCAAGGCTGAAGGTCCTGTCATGATACCAGGAGCATACCCTAGAGACTTCCTGCAGCTACTGGGAAGTACCAGGAATGGGCAGCACTGTGACCCGCAGTTCACTGCCCAGCTGTGTCTGCTGCAGCATTTTGGCACAGATGGTGGCTCCATCTGGCACCCAATGCCAGGGTGGCTGGGACTTCGCAGCCGTGCCTTCCTGGTGGCAGCCTTGCTCTGTTCCCCTCTGCTAGGCACTTGCTGGCTCCCTACCTAGGTGGTGCTACTCTCAGCAATCCTGAGCGTAGATAGGAGTCAAAGTTGTTTTTATTTATTCAAATCCCATTTAGCATCCATCAGGCTTAAAAATCACATGATTACCTCTTGTACAATCTTGTTTCACAGGAAAGTAATTAATTCAGCAATTAAGCTGTGCCCAGAACAAATGATGTAAGAGCACTCTGTATGGGCTAAATTAGTACCTGCTGGGACACAATGCCAGCATCTGCCTGGTTTAGTGACATTTATTTTAAACAGTCAGAGGTGGAGATGCTGCACCCTGTGTAATTTTACTGATGGCTTCATTCCAGACAGAGACCCAGAGAGGACTCAGTAGTGTCTGCTGGAGCATACTCCATTTGGTCAGCAGTGAAAAACAAGCTTACTCTGATGCCTCTTCTCTGTGTTAGGGAGGGTGTTTTAAATTTGAGTTTCCTGGCCAGATGGGCGTTGTTTATACCTCAAGCAGTGCGGGAAGCTCTGGAGAAAGAAATGCCGCTATTACAGCAGTGCACTCAATCTTCCTCAGAATTTCTAGAGTGAGGCTTTCCATCAGCACTGGAAACTGCCAAAGGGCCTCGGCGGGAGGGAAGGGTCCTGCCCCATCCTTTCAGTGGTGTTAATCCCCTAAGGGATTTGCTCCAGACAGAGAGCTCTGCTTCTGGAGAAGGGTGATTTTTATGGTAGGCAAACACAGGTTGCCATGGATTTCTGGCTGCTGTGGTACATTCTCTGTTTCCCTAAGGATCCTGTAGCAGCAGACAATGTCGTGTTACGTGGGAAAGACTCTATTTTTCCTTGGTGGGAAGCAGGCTGCAGGTCTGGGGCAGAAACCCTCCTCTGATGTGTTGAGGGGAGCACTGGGGGCACCCCATATTCCCAGATACAGAGGGTGTTTCTGTTTTTGCTGCTTCTGCCACAGGAAGGGTGTCAGCATGGTGTTGGAGCAGAATCACCTTAAAGGCAGATTTTTTTGAGAGGAATTTCTATAGAAGGACGTGTGTTCATGTCTGTGATGCTTATTTTTTTCTGTAGGAAAAGAGATATTTTTTATTGTCTAGTGTAGTTACTTGTTAACTATGTATTTAGTGGGTCTAGTTAATCTTGACTGTTTCATTTCCTAAGGGACCAGATGTCAAAGACAGCTTCAGAAAAATCTGATAGCTTAACTTTTCTTGCAACTTTGATAAAATGCTGTCAGGAGGACAGCAGGGCATTCCTTAAGCCTGTCTCCAATATGTATAGCCCTAACCATTGCTCTGAGCTTCATGGGAGGAATGAACCTTGTCTACTGTTCTTTTGACCTTTGTGGGGTGATTACAGAGAATGATGTGTTTTCTCCGGGTTACATGAGAAGACTCTTTGACGTGAGCTTGGGAGAGCTGATCTGGGCAGCTGAAGGTTGCCCTGTCCCTTGCCTAGCTTCCAGCTGTGGGTGCTGTACATCTACAAAGGGCAATTGCACCTTCAGCTGAGGTGAGTGTGCTTTGTTTATATCAAAGCTTATATTTTAAATAATTTCTTTGGATAGATTGTGCTCAAGTTCTGATGTCGTACCTTTAAACTGTTCTGTTAGTGACATGAACTAGCCCTCCTTCCTACATAATGAATAGGAAGATTTAGTAAAGGTTAAGAAAGTGGAAAGTGAAATAAGGTGATCAGGAATCACCAAGGATTAATGAAAGAGTCCAAGACCATTATATAAACTTTCAGGGAGAACCAGGAGGTCTATGACAATGGTGACTAATCACCCAGTTTTTCGCCTCCTGCTGCTCCCCGGGCTCCCATATGAAGGGCAGCCAAAGTGAGAGAAATTTCCATGTCCAGGAAAAAGCCTTGGAACTACCACCACGGTTAATCTTAAAAAGTCCCCAGGTGGCAGTGTGAAAGACTTCTAAAAAGCATGAGGTGGAAAAATATCTTTTTTGGAGAACAAAAAGAAGAAATGATTTAAGTAATCCAGTCCAAAACAGATCTATGTTTAAGTGCATGCCTGACCTTGTAGGACCAAGCTGACCTTTTAGAGTTACAGGGCTAATAAGGAGTAAAATGGTGCTGTCACTGTGGAGCCCCTGGCTTTGCCTGGTCCTTGTCCGCTCCTTCAGCATCCTTGAATCACTGACTTTGGTGCCTCGAAATGACCTTGTCTCTCTCCTTTCTTACACTGGTGATTACTCATGGACTTTACAGGGAAGCTGTAGACTGTGTGTATTAGAAGGTCAGACTTCTCTTTCTCCTGTGGGTATTAGGAGTTTTAAAAAGGGGACATGTTAGTTTGCTTAGCAGCAAAGAGCTCCCTGAGAGGCAGAAGTGGCTGCAGCCACATTGCACTTTTTCATGAGGATCAAAAAAGCAATTGAGGGGATGGCTTGGATCAGTCTCGATCTTGGTCCTGCTCTATAGCCATCTCCTTTGTGGGAAAAGCACAAGGAGAAGCAATTTGACCTTAATAAATGATAAGCATAGCATGTTTTTGCTATAGTTTTCTTTTAAGTCTGGTTCTGTTTTCAGCATCCACAGAAAGGCTGGTGTGAAAGCCTGACTCCCACAGGCCAGTGGAGTGTCCCAAGTGTGCCAGCCTGAGGGCATGGGGGACGGCAGGAATTCACAAGTCAGCACCATAGCTGAGGTGAGGCACCTGAAACCATATTCCAAGGGATGTTTGAATTCTGGTCATCCCTGGGTAATCCTGGAGTATTGGTCAAGCTCTTGTTATTCACAATCCATCAGTGCAGTAATACTAAATAAATATTTGGGTGTACAGCAGTACTTGGATGCTGTTTGTTTACAGGGCAAGCTCTGTGAGTGCTCAGTGGTGTGCCTGTGCCACTGCTTTTCAGTTTGGATTTGTGGAGGCATTTGTTCCTTTTATTTCCCCACTTAGTTTGTTCCCTTATTCTTCAATTTGCACCTGTTGTGACTGGACCCTGATTCAGACTGAAGAGGCAGCATGTGCAGAGCTTATGGTATTCACTTACAGGAGAAGGGAGCTGGACCTATTTCCTTGCTTGATGTCCTGCTGTAGGACACAGACAAGCCAATTTCTGCCTCTCTTCAACCATCCTGCTAAAGCTGTTGCCTTCTGCCTGAACTGAGCTATTCTGCATGGTGTCATGAAAAGTTCAAGGGGACTGTCAAAAAACCTTTGGTAATTTGTGTACTTTACCCCTCTGGCAGCTCCTTAAGCTCCTATGGGCTGAGCTCTGCCTAGAGGAGCAGCCTCCGGGGTAGCTGGATCCCAGTTTGGGTACCAAATGTATTCCTTGTCTTCATGAATGTTTTTGCTGAGTTTCTGGGCTGGTGGAAGCTTCATGGTTTTGAGTTCCACTCATGCATTAGGCACTGCTGTGTTTTGGTTATTGGCATTCCTGTGGTCAGCCCTTGTGTCCAGGGCTTGTCCAAGCACCCAGGCCATGGCAAACCAAACCCAGCAGTGCAGTGTTTTTGTCTTGTTTTAATTAGAGTAGGACATAATTATTAGCAGCATTGTTTTTGTTTCCATTTGTTTGTTCTGACAGCAACCAAAGGAGGCCATTATCTCTACAAGAGGATGTTTCAACACGTGCTATGGTAAATAAAGCTAACAGGATCAGAGCAAAAAGAGGATCACATTCTCTTAAGGACAGCAATCAATAATCAGGCTGTTACATGCCAAATCCTTTCAAGAGGCATGATAGCAAGCTTGCACTCAGATCAGCCTCTAATCTTGCAGAATCACTGAGGTCTTTACTGGCTGATATATGTCCCACAGTCTATCTGCCCTGTAATGCAGGTGTCCCTTTAAGATATGTGGCAGTTTGGAGACGAAGAAAGTAGGTTGATGGCAGCTACCTGCCCCTTTTGGGCAACATATTTCTGTATGGATCAGGCTAAAGATGGAAAGTCCGGTCTGGGTTTCACCCTGAATAATGTTTCACCACCTTTCCTGCTCTGTGAACAGCAGCAACCTTGAGCACACAACATGTTCCTGGAAACTGTGCTTCTCTGGTCCCCTCAGCCAGAGACAGCAGCCTCAGTTTTAACTTTTCTGCAGGCCTTGGCTGCAAACAAGATTATCTTGGAAGCAAAATGCCACTGAAGACTTGCTCTTCATACTGGCAAATAAAGTACTTAAGCAATGTGATGTTTGTTAAAACAGCAAAATATCTTCTAAAAGTGTTTTTGTGCAACACTGGATAAAAATGACGAGACATATACTAGAGGGTGTTCATTCCTGAGATCTCCAGTGTTTCCTATACTCCTCATTTTAGTATGTCTTTTGATCTTTGCTGTTTGCCCCAAAGCTATGGGCATTAGGTGAGCTCCTCAATTTTATTTTATTTTATTTAAAAAAAAAAAAAAATAAAGAAGAAGTTCATAGCCCTCAGGGATTTGCAGAAAAGTTTGAAAATGTGACCATAAACTTCAGGAAACCAGACTGCAATTAGGAAAAACTCAAATATTTATAATTTTCTCTAAAAAACAGAACAAAACCCCTTGCAATTTTAAAGCTGTGATTCTTTGGAGCCTGATGCATAATTTTTGAGTATGTGGGGTTGGCAGTGCTGGAAAGGATGCTTTTCTCTGCCCTGATCATGTTTTTTTCTGCTGGGAATTTTATTTACCAGCTACTTTAACTGTTTCTGCACCTTTTTCTTGGCTGGCCTCTCCTGCACATGAGAAGCCTTTTCCATCTCTCTGGGGACTTGGAAGGGCAGATAGAGATAGTGGCAGGGGTCAGGATCATCCCAGAGGCTGCCCTGCATGGGTGCATCTGGCCACGTGGTTCAGACTTGCTGGGTAGCAAAGCCTTTCCAAGGTCTTAAAACCTGCTCTCCTGGTGAGGAGGATCCCGGGGAGATCACCTGGGACAGCAGCACCTCTTGTTTCCCTCTCAGTTGCAGCCAAGTGCGTGGCTCCTCCTTTGCAAGCCAATAGCTTGGCTTGGAGGATTGTCTCCAGTGGGCAAAGCTTGCTGTAGGGATGTAATCTTCCCTGAAGGCTCAAGAAGGGAAAAGGCTCTTTCCTTCAGGTGCTTGTTTGCATGGTGTGGTGACTGCTGCAAGCGAGGCCCCGAGTGTGACCCTGCTGTCTGAAGGGCATGGAAAGGCATGGTGCCTTCCCAGAAATTCTGCAGGGAGGCAGGAACAGCATTGGGCTCTTCTCTCTGCTTCTTCCTTCCCAAGCTGCCCTCCCTTGGGCATTGCTCTTTCATATTTTTAGAAAGCACAGTTGATATTTTTCAACCCTGAATTTGCACGTCAGCAGCCATTGCACAGTGAACTCTCAGGGGCCCATTTATTTCACAAGCAAGGGTCATACCCTGCGATAGTGTTTTCTACCACATCGTCAAGAGCACCCTGAGCTCTAGCTGCTTCAAAATGGCAGCTATTGTTTGGTGTCATTAGGCTCATTCCTATTTTAGGGACAGATGCAGCAATGTGCTGCAAGCAGCCCCTTTTTCTGCCTTCCTCACAGTTTTATGGGGTAGTCCTAGTTTAATTCAGCACAAGTCCCTTGCAGAACTGGAGTGTCTGGAGACTGGCCATGGTTGCTACACCAAGCTCTGTTCTACAAGGGCACAGCCCAATGCATCTTTGCAGAATGATGCCTGCAATAGGGAAATTATGCTTTGGCCTCGTCAGTCAAAGATTTGAATTTATAAAAAGTGAAATATCAGTCCTCTGGATAGAGGAGGGCAACAGTGATCAGAACTTTGATTCAGAGCTAGAGGATGACCATGGTGATGTGGGGAGCCATTTATCACCTTTGGTCAGAGAAGACAGCAGGACCAGTAGAAAACTTCAGAGGCTACAGAGTGGCTGGGCAAAGTCCAGATCTCTTCCCTCACTATCCACGATCTCCTCCCTCACTGTCTGGGCTTGGGGACTCTGTGTGTTAATATGGCACACCCATATTAAGATTGTATACCCATCATTTCCCACAAAAATACTTACTACAGGGAGTTTGTTTCTCCACCCCCCTGTTGTAAGAACCCCTGGATTGTGTGGGCCCTCTGAAACCATCCTTAGCTAACCTGTGCCATGTCCAACTAATCATGCAGGGCTCTGAGTGTTTTCACATTTTCCTAGCTGGGCTGAGCGCCCTTCCAAACCGTGAGCCCGATGCCCTCCGTGCAGATTCATGTTCCCTGAGAAATGCAATTGTAACTATTTCAATTACGGGAGCCCTCGAAACCATAAATGTCTTCAAAGTTGTGAAGAATGTCCCAGCCTGGAACTGAAATGAGCCCGGCTCACTAAACTTTGCCCATTACATTTTCGCGAGTTTGGCTCTATCCGATCTTTCAGCTAGAATGGTGTTCTTACTTCCAGCATGTGTGGAAGGCACACTATCTGCTTATCCTGATATGGTGTCCACACTTCCAGACTCAACCTTGACTCCTTTTTCCCACTAAGGCTTCTCCCTAGGTAAACAACTCTTTTGGTTTGTCCTGTTCCTACCTGTATTTGCTCATTCACTTTGAAAATAAATACTCCTTAACCTGGGATATTACTGGTGTTTATTTTAGGCTGGTTCAGGGTTTTGCTAGCAAAGAGGGCAAAATTCTTGCATGGTTCTTAGGCCAGTGTGCTTTATTTCAGACACAAGCGAACTCTAGTCACTCATAGCACGTGCAAGTGGCTGTGCAGTGCTGCATTCACATACAGAGCTATATAAAGGGTAATGATAATGTTGCCCAGAAGGCTAACACATCAAAGGCCAAGGAGCAGTTAAAATGTATTACGAGCTGTTGGCAGTGATTGTGGGGGGTATTCGTGTGTTGCTGATTTGGACAGCCAGAGTAAATGAAAACCCTCTGGATTAATTGGTACCCCAAAGAGATTTAGAGGAAAATGAAGGCTGATGGAAATTGACAAACAAGGGAAAACACAGATAGCTGGGTGTGTTGACCTGCAGTGGGGCACTGCTGATTAATTTGCAGCTCCCTACTGTGCCCTGGGAAGCCAAGCAGAGCTGCGGGTGCCCTGCCAGCAGCTCGCCTAGTGCTTTGGTGGGAGCAGGCTGAGCCCCAGAGGCAGCATCTGCAGTGCTATTTCAGCACTTCCAAGTGTCTGGTTAAAGGTGAGACTTACCAGGTGTCTTGTGACACCTGGACACAGGACAAGAGTTTAATTACTTTTAATGATGTGGGGTGCTAGGGGAGGGAGAGGAGGCCTGGTATCACAGAGTGACTGAAGCTGGGAACTTGAGGATTGATTTGCACAGAGACTGCTGGTTGAATCAGACGACAACCAATATGGGGACTATTGAATGATACACTCCCATCTTTTACTAGGATACCTGTATTCCAGTTCCTATTATGTGGTTTATTATTAATGCTTCAATTTTACATAAAGGGCATCTAATATTTGGGTTATACTGACATCCATACAAACTGCAGTTATATCAGCTCACTCACTTGTTAGGTGACCAGCTGGAGCAGGACCACTCAAAACAGCACCAGCAAAGTTGCGCCCTTGCAGACCCCCCTCTTTGGTGGCTGAGGCAGGGTACTTGTGCTGATGACAGTGGGCAACTGGTGCTGACTTGAGGGTCTTTCACGTGTCCACACTGGGTCTGGAAAAGAGGGTCCTTGTTTTTCTTCCGATCAGCGGCTGGTTTTGCCAATGAGTTTCCAAAAAAATTTTGCCAAAGGCAATAGACCACAAGCTGTGCTGGTATCAGTAATCTCTCATCTGGACACCACACAATTCAGCCTGTCGAGTACTTCCTCAGTCCTCTTGCCTTGGTCCTACCTACTCATCACTGACTCTGGTAGAGACACTTTTTTATTGCTAGTCTTGCCTAGACACCTCACAATTTGGGTGGTTTCCTGTTCCCCTGCAGCTCGAGAGTTTGCTTCATTCCTGTACCCAACTCCATGCGTCTCATATTTCTCTCTTGCAGACTTGAGGAATCCTTGTCACGGGAAGAAAAGCACAGAAGGTGATGTGCTTCTGGTCACCTGATGACTTACAAGGTCTCTTTCTTCTCACATTATCCTTTCAGTGCATGGACAAGAGGAAGGAAAAGGCTGCTCAAACTGGCAGGTTCTCCCAACCACGTGTCCTTCTGGCAGCTGTGTGGGTGTGATGGGGATGGAAGGTAAAACAACAATTCTAGAGGGCCCTTTCTCAGTCCTTTTTCTGAATATACCTATGAGAACAATAGATGAGCAAAGTTACCCAGAAAGACAGAGAAGAAAAGCACATTGTTGTATGCACAGGTAGGATTGCTCATCTCCCTGAGACCTGACCCAAGTCTGTCAGGCTCCTGTCTTGTCTCCCAGCCCATTGTCACAGATGACAGTTTTAAAGCATGGCTCAGCTCTGCAACCTTCATCACTACCCACCCCACTGTCCTTCTGCTGGCAGCCTCCTTCATTCTTTAGATGTCACAGGAAAAACCTTGCTTTCTGCTTGTGCCGGGGAGCATTGTAGCAGGGTGGGAGAAGCAGCAGTCTTCTACACATTTTTAACATAGTGAGGCCCAAGAATGAGCACCACCAACTTATTTTTGACATATTCCTGAAAAATTCCTTGCTTCTCCCATAAATCTGAGACATATATAGAGAATCTGTTTTCAGTCTTAAAGCTAAAGACAAGCATAAATTTTAAAATCTATTTTTAAAGCAAATTGCATTTAATTTATAATGTTAAACTGAAGTTTTTAAAGTGCTCTCATCCTTGAAAAAACAGAACACTTCATTTTTTGGTGACTAATGATGAAATGTTTTCTAAAGGTGACTGAGCATAGCACAAAGAATCTTGAATATATTTATTAGCTAATTAGACATAATTAATTGAATCTGGTTGCTAATATTGGCTATGACTTTGCAAGCGAAAAGCACTTTTGGTTAGCTAGACAGTTACTTATGAAAGAACAAAAATTCAACATTAAAACACATGCAGCTTACTGAATAATCATGTTATTTGTCAGACAAGCAGAAGAATCATCATTGAAGTGCTCCCTAAGTGTCAAATTGGGTAATATACATAATTAGGCCCCTTTGATTAGATATGTGCCCATGGTAACAGCTGCACTCAAGATCCACATATTAGTATCGCCTTGAAATAATCTTCAGAGGGGATGATGGCAACAGAGCACTTCTGAAGCTTCACTGGGGAGTCTTTTAGAACATAACCCACACACCGATTTTCTCTGTTCCTGTGGTTATTCTTTATTTTATCTTATTATCTTCTATTTTTAAAACAATGCATGCCTTGGTTTTCAAAGGTGATATACTACTTCCACGAAGTGTCACTACACTTGTATCCCTAAAAGGAAGATCTCTTACTCATCTGCATCACATTTTAAAGCCTGGAGCCTTCCTATATTTAGGGATGAACCCAGCAATTGGCAAGGCTGATGCAAGCTGTTTCCAGGAGGTGGCAACAACCATCACCTGGAAGAGAGCCTATCTCAGATCCACTCTTCTCTCATAGCCCAGGACAGCCCAGTGATGGGTAAGGTCTTCTGGATGTTCTTTTAGGTTTTTGCAAAAGCCTTGTGAACAAACTGTAAGGTCTCAGCGAGAAGATTGATTTTGCATGAGATCCAATCCTCAGAGAGCCTGCAAGCCCTGAGCTACTGCCAACCCACACGGAATGAGTCTGAAGGGTACTGTTTGGGCAACAGTGGAACCCAAGAGAGCATTTAGCTGTAGATGCAATATGAATTGTTCCTGCAGTTTATTTTTACATACTTAGAGGGTGAATAAGTTTGGAAGAGTTGGAGAGAATCTGAGAATTAGCAGAATGAATTATTATTGGTTATTTATATAAAATGAGAGTAACATATCTCCTGGTACAACATTGTGTGTTCAGGGATGATGAAAGGTGCTTTTTGCAGAAATGCTGGTGGGGAAATATTTAAAAGAAGATTTTTTTCCCCCAATAAGGAAGAGACCAAGATACAGAAAAGTTCCCCAGTATGGAAGTACCAGGGAAAGACTGGTCTGTAGCAGGGAAACCTAGGCAGGAGGTGCTGAGAGTCTGACAGGAGACGAATGTGAAGTCACATTCCTGGCCAGTTTGGTTTGGAAGGCTAGTGTGTATGTGGCTAATCTTTTCCTGTCAGCTATCCCATCAGTGCAAGAGAGCCATAGTGTACCCCTATGCGGACATTTCACCTGTAGAAACAAGATAGGACCTGGCACCAAGGAACCCTCTTTGGAGGCACATGGTGGAGATGAAATCAACACTGAAAGACTGTGAAAAATAAGTGGAAAAAGATGTTTTAGGATATCTTTTAGCTTTTTGAAAGAAGAGGAATATCCTAAGCAAACGGGTAAACAGAACAGCTAGAAAGCTTTGGTAGGCATGGGGAGAGCACAGGGGAAGACTTTATTTCCTGGTTTAGCTGTTCCTTGGCACAGAAAATGGGAGAACTTTTTCCAAGGGGCCAGTGACACAGCCAGCTGTGTTTGTAGCCTTGAGCTGCATAGCAAGAACACTGAACGTAGTGTCCATACAAAGTCATCAAACTGTTACTGGATGCAGCATTAGGATCTCACCTACTGAAGCAAAAACAGACACGTGGATCCATCTTGGGCATGCAGTACCTGATTAGGAGCATGTCACCTTTCTCCCTATTAGCATGTTTTTAACCATGCTCAGTGGACAGGATCATCAGAGTGTAAATTAACATCACTGGTCAAATTATACTAAAGTTGTGAACTTTCTAAACCCTTCCCTCTTTTCTCTAAGTCAGTGCTGGTTTTAACATTGCTTCTCAAATGAGGAGATTATTCAAACCAGTTTCTTGTTAGTCACATCATCACCAAACTATGAGGTCTGAAACAAGTTAGACCAAAGCCTATGTCTGCCCTGGTTGAGAGTAGGAGGACTCTAAAGGACCTGGGTTGTGTGCGAACCCTGTGGTGATGGTAGCGATGGCTGTGCCAGCCCTAAACATCCTGTTTTTAGGGTATCTTGTGGATATTCACTGCCTGTGTTTGACAGTGCAGTTGTACTGGGTATTCCCAGGCACGTGGGACCTCCTATAGGTCCTGAAGGGCATCCTCAGGTCATGGGGCTGGAGGCCTAGCAGCTATATGGGTGGTGAAATCAGCCCAGAGAGAGTCCTGGAGTGCCACAGGGGAAAGGCAGAGTGGATGTGCTGTGTGTGCAAATGAGAGTGTTCACACACACAAACGTGTATATCTAATATTGTTCCCTCCTGCGATAAATGGCTCTAAGTGGAGCTTTGTGAAATTTTGAATTTCTGTTTTTCAGAACAGAGCAAACCGCGGCAAAAAACAGGAAAAATTGTTTCCTGGAATTAAAACAGTCATGTTCAGAAATGTTTCCATGTTCCATTTTGACATTTTTTGGATCAAAGTGAAGCATTTTGACATTTGTGAGGTAGGAATGTTTTGTTTCAATTTGTTGAACTGACATGAAACATTTAGTTTCAAGTCTGCTTAACATTAAAGTAGGCAGTGCCTTTCCTTGGGTTTGGGTCCCATTCTCTCCTCTGGGCTGTGCTCCCTGGGAGCTCTGCCCAGCTCCCATGAAGCTTGGGCCAGGTCCATGTTGTTTTCAGTGAATGCAGCTCAGCCGCAAGCCCCATGCACAGGAAAGAAGAGAGGCCTTTTGGGGAAAATTCATTTCAACGCTAAACTCAATTGAAATGAAAAATTTTGGGACAGTTGAAGAAAAGCGCTCTGTTCCAGATCACCTCCACAAAACACCATTTCTTGTCAGCAGCAACCCTGAATTCCTGGAGGCGCTTTTTGTGTTGCAGAAGCTGTGCTCTGATTTGAAAGGTCCCCAGTGAGTACCTGCATAGATTTTGTTGCGATCTACACCAATAAGCTCCCAGGAGTTTGCAGACTGGCCCCCTGGACTTAGCAACAGAGCTGCCCCTAAGTGTCGGTTGGGCAGATTTCCCGACCAGCTAAGGATCCCCACTAATCCTCTTGGGGGCTGGCTGGGGCTGAGGCAGCCTATGGCTTGGCTGTCCCCGAGGGAGGTGAGTGGGCTGCAGTAGGGACAGGAGTTTCTCTTGGGAATTCGGCAGACTCCTCTCTTTTCTGGAAGTGGCTGTAGGGTCTTCCTGGGATTTCTCATGAATTTTAGCTAAAAGTAAATTCAAAAGTTGCTCTGGCTCATTCTCAACACCTCTCTATAGGACCAGGCAGGTCCTACTACTTTCTGTGAGGGATAATTGACTCCCTTGCCCTCCCCCTTTCCTGGGCAACAGCTTCAAAAGATCTCTGATTTTGCTCAGCAATCAAGCAATCTCATTTGCAAAACAACTGCAATGGCCCTGCAAAAGCAAAAGGACAGCTCCTTTGTTAAATAGTGCCTTTTGGTGACACAAAAGAACCATAAAGGTGATGAAGCTGCAGCCGGGACAGCCGCGTTTCCTGGACTGTGCAGCCTGGCCTCCCTCCCCCTCCCGGCTGTAATTTCAGACTCTGAGTCTAAGGATTATGCAGGGCTCAAGCCCAGGGAGAATAAGGTGCATTGCAACTTATTCTTAGCTCCAAAAATTATTCCTGGCTTTGCTTTGAAATCTGAACCAGGGTTAATTTCTCTCCCCCTTCCCCCAGTCTGTTTCCTCTCCTCTTTCATGTACCTATTTGCATAGACTGTCATCGTAAGAATCTCCATTAAAATTGAAAGCCTCCTTCCTGCATGTCACCTCTCGCAGCCCCCTTCCGCTTGCCCTGCATGACTTTTGGAGGGCTGGAGAGCAAAGGTCCTGTGCTAGCATCGCCTCCTGAGCCCTGCATTCCCCCTGCCCTCAGTCCTGCTCCTTCGTTGCTATAGGAACATCCATCAACTTGGGAGTGCCAGAGAAAAAGAACAGAGAGTTATCTTAATTATTTAATGATTGATTAATATATGTTTATAGAGCACTTCAAAACAGTGCATAATTTTATGAATAGTTTATTAACTGGGCAAGTGGTATAATCTGCTGAACATCCTCCACTCTCATTGTTTTCAGTGGGAGGAGAAGTCGGTAGGCAGCTTGCAGGTTTTGTGATAGTTACATTACTAAGAGTACTAGTAATTCTGCTTCAGGGAAATAATTCAAGTATGAGCCTTTACTTCACGTTTCATAGGCAGGGCTGCTCCCAACACCTGCCACTGAAGTTACTCAAATGCCTCCATTGTAAAGACCTATGTTCAGCTGATTTTTGGCAGGTTTTACCCATCTGGAAAGGTTTGAGCTTACTTCTCCTTGAGGCTGAATACAGACAGGAGGCAGAGAGTGCTTGCAGCTGGTGGTGCAGCATGGCTTGTTGGTACAGGGAGCCTCCTGGCTTAGCTGCTCTTCTCTGCTGAGTGACTGTGGCTTTGTTAGGAGGCCTTGGAGGCTTTTGCTAAAGTTTATGTGCTTTGTGCCCGTAGCACCAGGCTGGAAGGACTGTATAAGCAGGGTCTGTTGTCTGGGTGAGGAAGGGTGGAAGGAGGAGCATGGTGCTGGTGTTGTGTGTGCTGCCTTGTTCCCATGTCCAGTTGAGGATGCCAGCTAGACCAACATTTGCTGGTTGTAAATCCTGATCTCTGCCCAGCCTGACCCAGGTAAGCTGCTGAAGCAAGCCTGTCTTTGCTCTCTTCAACCTCACCAGTACCTTCTTTGGGTCTGACTTTCCCTGGTGCCTGACTGCTCTCTGGCTTCCTTCCTCTCCTAAGCCTAATAAGCTGAGACTTTCCCACAGTGGGATGCGAGGTAAATGCAGACTGACCACCTGAAGTGCTCTACGTCACCAAGCACGGGGAGAGTCCGTGACATGCAACACACACTGCCACGCATGCTTGAGAACTGAGGCTTGCAGTCGGAATGCCTTTGCTGTGAGCTGTCATGCACTTGGCAGAATCATAAGGCTGCCATGACCTCGGTGTCAGGCCTGACTGTCCTTGTAGGTGCAGGAAGCAAGACAGGACAATGCAATAGGATACAAGCAGCTGATAAAAGCTGGTGCTCCCTGCCTGACTTGGCCAGGCTCCTTACCTGAGTAAGGACTGCAAGACCACGGCTGCTGCGATGGTGGATGACTGGGAGGGTAATAACTATAGCTGGTGCTCTTAGAGAGGCTGCTTTCCCCAGGTAATGCTTGTTATGAAGCACTAAAGACCTGTGATGCAATGGGATGGGTGTTGATTAGGTGTGTGATGTGTGCAGCTGCCTAGTTTTTAAGAGGAAGCACAAAATGAACAAGGAGACTTGCAAAACAAAACAAATCTACTCTGGATGCACGCTGGTATTTAGGAGGTATTAAAGCTTGTTCAATTTAAGGACTCTTGGACTTCTTAGCCCCTGTGAATCCATCTTCTAGAGCAAAATCATCCCATAAAGATGCCTTTACATGTGGCAGCCACCCTTGAGGTTTGTTTCTGGGTTTTAAATATGGATTGTTGCAGAAAAGTCTCTGCTCCACCTGAAGAAAGCAGTAGCAGGATTAGGTTGTTACTCTGTAGTAGTTCAGCACTAGAGGGGGATGTAGCATGTGCTTTCCAGCACATTTCATACATGCATGCAACAATATTTTACAGTGGTGTTTATGAGAAGGCTCTTTCTATAATTGCCAACATGAAGATTTTTGTCTTGCAGGGGCAATTTTCTTGCACAGGATAAAAATCAGAGAGGCTACTGTTTGCCAAGACATAAAAGACTACGCTTGTAGTCAATTAATTTTGTTATGTGTTATGTGTGTCTTGGATATTGGGGCCTCAGGACTTCAGGCAACTCTCATGTCTTTTTTTTTTTTTTTTTCTGTGTCTGACATGAGCAAACAGACGCTGTTCTTTAGCTTGGTTGTAGCTCTAGTCCAGGCTGTTGGCTGGAAGGGTCTGAGCTCTGCCCTCCTTACCGTGGCAGTGCCCTTCTTGCTTGTGGTAGTGAGTCTTGCGAATGGCTGAAAAAAGGCATAAAGCCAAATCCACCCAAATTCTCTCGCTTAGAAAGCTGCATGTTCTCAGTAAAAATGGCTCGTTGACTTTGAAGACATCTGAGTAATAAAAACCAGTTGTCCACTTCATGCACAAGCAAAACACTTGGAAAAAAAAAGCTGCTGCCTTGAGGTTTTGCAGAAGCTGGTCGAATTCCTGTCCTTTTCTCTTCTTTTCCTCCTCACCTCCAGTGAGCGATTCTCATTCCATGTTTTACTCAAGAGTGCAGAAGTGTGCCAACATGAGGAGACTTGCTAGCCCTTTAGGCCAGAGAATTTCTCCTGGTGTGTTTGGGAATGGTATCTTGGGAGAAGAGTAGCCTGGATGGTGTATGCTATATATGCACAAACATGGCTGTAATAGAAAGTGAGAACGTCACTTGCTGAAGAAAGCCCGTATTCAGGCCAGTGGGTAAGGACTGTCACAGTTCCGAATTTTGCCCGTTTGCTCTGTGGGAGATCCTCGTGTGCACCCCCGTGCCCTCCTCTCCTCCTTGTACCCTGGACATTGCATGGGGCTGCGGTTCCCGCCTCGCACTGAGGGCTAACCAGAAAAGATGTCCCCATTCACATTTCCACATAGAAATTTTTCTTTCCCTACTTTTAGTGCCTGTAATTACCTCTTTACTCCAGTGCCAGCAATCTTCCATCAGGCATCGTTATTAACAGAGAGAAAAGGGAAGGGGAGGGAGGGAGAGAGCGAGAGCGCCACAAAACTTAATTTAATCGCAGCACCCCATGCTCAATTTAACAGACACAACAGCTCAGAATGGGGTCCCTGTGCAACGGGAGGGCAGGCAGTGGAGCGTCCCTGGAAAGAATTAATTGTGGATGACAATGTGTAAACAGTGCAGATGAATAGGGCATGCAGGTGTGAGGCACCGGGGCCATCCCGGGGACTTTTTCACACGAATTTCAGCTCCTTCACTGCTGACCTGCTCCCGAAAACGTGATTAGTGTCGGCGTTGGGAAACCATTCAGGGTGTCAGGATTTGGCACATATTAACTAGCCCTGGGGGAGAGGGGAGGGAGCGCTTGGGGGCTATGAAAGGAGGAAGTCTGGCAGAGAAGGGTATTGTTAAAGGGCCAGAAAATCTCCATTGCTCTGAGGTGCCCTTGCTGCTTGGAGGAAAATGGAAGAGAGCTGAAGCAGAATAGAACTCCAAGGCACCCTAGTCCTTACTGAGCTATGTGGAAAACAAGGCAATGCACCATGGAATATTTTTGTCTAGGTGTCTGTCATAAATATTAGTGATGCTTGTATTAATGACTTTTTCTTAGCTGTGGTTTTCACAGCTCTAGACGCTTCAGCTTCAGAGATAAACAGTCAAAACAAGCAGGAAAGGTAATGACAGAGCAGCACTGAGAACAGGAAATATCTCCTGCGTACCGTACGGATGTTATTCAGCACGCAAAATCCTACTTCATCAATATGTACTCTATGTACAGTGATACAGATAGAGGGTTGTATAATGGGCCCAATTTACCAAACATAAGGTTAGACGCTCTTAAATTATGTTCCCTGTGCCAGCCTGGCCCTCTGCATCCAAACAGGGGAGTTATGTGCAGAATAGACAAGGTTACTGATGTCTTTTCCCACTCAGGAGAATGATGCAAGGGGAAGGACAGAACTTGATGAGGACTACCATGAATACCTGTGCCTCTGCTGGACTCTGTCATGCTCTTTCTTCTTTGCTGGAAATCCTTTCCCTGCCTGTCTTGTGACTTGGGCAGCATGGCAGGGATGCTGTGTAGGTGCCTGCGGAGATTCTTAGCTTTGCAGTCCCTAGACCACTGCAGCCCAAAGGCTTGGACTTCATGTAATATAACAAAAATAAAAGTTATTCTAACTGCAAACATACCTATGGATGTGAAGGTGAGGTTGCATTCTTGCTGGCCTGGTGATGAAAAAGGGTATTGCTGTCGGTGCTGCTTTGGCAGTGCAGACATCTGTGTGGGAGGCAGGATGGACCAGCCCCTTCCTAGGCTGTTTCTGCTTGGAGAGATTAAATATGTGGTGAGAAGGGGACACGAAATATCATTACAGAAACTGTGAAGGCCAGTATATGCAGGAGAAATCCAACCTCAAATTCAGAGTTGCACTTAGTCACTGTTGGAAAATTAGCTACTTATTTTGCTCACTAGCCCACACATATGTCACAGACTAGTTCAGCATCCTTTTGAGGAAAGTCTGATGATGGCTATCACTGCCAACAAGGGGTATTGAGGGGCTGAGGTCTCACAGGGAATTTCCATGCTTTGGCAGTGGAAGTTATGCCTTTTGTCCTGATTGTGGCAATTGTAGATGATTTCTCTGGTAAATCACAGCAATGACTATGTGGGAAAGGTTGTATGCTCAGTTAAAATGTTGGCAGAAGGGCAAAATTTGTTTCCTGTTAAGCCCAGTGATATCTAGATTCATAAGAAACAAGAAATAATGAAACAGGCTTTTTGCAGTGCAATCCTGCAGCTCTTGAGATGGGAGTCTCCCTGCATAACAAGTTTCCCAAGAGCTGGACACCCAGCTGAAGCCATTCATCTCAATTCTCTCTGAGAGTCTAGAGGGTTCATCACCTCACTTATCTGACATGCCATCAGCAGGGATGAACAACAGTTGTTTCATTGCCATCTGCTTGACTGCTGCTGTTTCCAAAAATGATGATCGGTGCTACTAGAATTTCTTCCCCTGGTCTGCTCCCCCATCAAATGTTCCTGCCTTCCCACACCAAGTTATCTGCCTTCTCAGAATGCAGCTACCCTTGGGAAACTGCATGCTGAAAAGACTTCCTTCCTATGAACTGTACAAGGCAGTTCTTTTTAAAACCATCAGAAATAAGTTAATTCTGTAATGGCTGTTCTTGCCAAGATGAATGTGATGTTTTCCAGCAGGGTGAGTTAGCCTTATTGCCCCAGACAAATTCCAGGATAATGGCTTTCTACAGTTGTCAGGAAAGGGTGTTGCATTTGCTGCAATATGGCTGTTTCTCAGGGCCAACTGCTGCTCATCCTTTTAAAGTCTTTTTTTGTTTGTGTTTTTTTTTTAATCATTTTTTTGAAAGATATTTGATCAGCTTTCCAATTTTGGTTTTCAAGGAAGAATAACGTGCTAGAAATCTCACCAGTTACACAGCTGGTAATTTATCCACTGGAAGGGAGAGGGATGCAGGAGCCAAAGAGATCAGCTCCACAAACACCTGATCTCGGGACTATTGCAGGACTGTCTCCAGGTAAGCTCTCTGTATCCTACACTAGGAGCTAACTGTACCCTAACTGACCTAAAAAGACTAGCTTCTCAGTAAGGCTGCAATACCTCCTCAGTCAGAGGACCCAACAACTGTTCTTCATTTGTACTTACAGTTGGATCACTGGATCTTCACTTGTACTGTATTTAAGCCACTAGCTGCTATAGAACCAAAAAAGGCGTTGTTGAATTGTGTTAGTTCAAGAATGGAGGAGATGGGGCTAAGGGAAGGTAAGAAATTTGCAGGCAGTGAAAATGAGACAGCTGAAGAAGGTGAGGATGTGGGTTCCAGTCAGTTGTGCTAAACTTAATACCATAGCTCTAGCTCCAATTTCTAGAGAATCTTCATACCATGCTAAATTGCTATTGCACACAAAATATGCTCCTGTGGTGACAAATTGCTCTTTCTTGTAAGGATCTCCAATTAGTGCGGAGGTTCTCAGTCCTGATGAGAAATCAGAGCAAGAAAGGACTCTGGAAAGTTTAGAAGTTGCTGGTTAGTGGGTGATCTGAGGTACAGTGAATGAAATGTTGTAGAGCTTGAAGACAAAATATATTTCTCTTAAGTTAAGGATGGGATGACTAATTTCAGTATAATAAGTCAGTATCAAGCCTTCAGCCAAATCTCAGATGAAATCAATTCTGAGTAACTTGCTTTTTCCTGACAAGTTTTTGAAATCTGCATTTATATCTTCTGCTTGGTGTGCTTGCAGAACTGCTAACTATCACTTCAAAGAAAATATTTTGTATTTCCTAATTAGTGGCTGCACTAAGGCAGGGGAGATGCAATGCTGATTTCTCAGTGCAAATTATTTTCCTGGAAGACCCTTGACTGTAGACCATGTTTGAAAAGTAAACAAGGCACCTTCTTCGGTGCCAGTAGTTTATCTGCATTAAATGAATTAAAACCAAACCAAAACAAAATCTGAAATCCTATCTGTTACACATTGGTGGGCAGTTGCTAATGCCATCTGATCTGGAATAGTTACCAAAGTGGTTATACTGGGATGTTCAATCTGTCTGTCCAAATGTTTACTTGACTGCACTGCCAACCCCTGACCTCTGCCTAGGGTGGAAGCAGGTCTGATTCTGCTGGTATGGCCCCAAAGCATGGTTTGGTTCATTGTCTGGCTCCAGCTGCGATGGTCAAGTGTTAGGGCTGCTTGACCATTATGCCCAGACAAATGAAATTACACATCTTAATAATAATTTCTGTGTTTCTTGATGTCTCTTTTTGCCACCCTGTGTCTTCATTTCCATTCCTCAATCAAGAGAGACAACCTGCACCTAATTACTTTTCCCTCTTTAGTCCTAACCCAAACTTGTTATTTCTGACACTGCTAGCCAGGTTATCTCAGACTTATGTGCTATTATGGGTATGGTTACCAGGCTCACTGGTCCTATTTCCCAGAATGTCCCCAGTGCTCCACTCCTGCTGTGTGGTTCGGCTGTTGCTCACACACATTCCCCTTAACCACATGAGGGATCCAGCCAGCCTTCACAGCACCACCTGTAGTTTTTGCCAGCTTCTCACAATATTCCCTCTCACATTCAGCTTTCCACATGTCACATTCACTCTCTTGTCTGCTAGCTTCCAGACTCTTTCCAGGTAGCTTAACCTCAGGCCGGGGCCCAGCTGGCAGGTTGGTGCCTGCAGTGCTACCCCATCCCCATCTTCCAGCCTGCGGCATTATTATTTGCTTGCAAATGATCCATATGAAGACTATTAATATATTTATTAGACGACATAAATATAAATCATTACTGAAAAGTCTTACCTTTTTGAGGATATATGATAAGAAAGTCAAGGCAGAGTGCCTGTCTGAGCAGTTGTATGTTCGGTTTTCCAGCTAATGCCAAAACCCATGGCTTTTCAGTAACAAAGCAGGCTCAAAGAAGGTGGTCGTGAAATGTTTGTGGATGTCCTTCTATGTTCCTTGGCAAGTCTATGGTATCACCTCTAGTACCGTGAGGGTGGTAAAACGATTCAGCCTGGTTGTTTCTTTCACACCTTCAAGAATGTGTGAGGTGTCATTTTGGATCTGCTAAGCAATGCTGGATGCTTGCCCAAACCATATCACTGGCCGTGGGAACAGTTGAAGTCCTTATGAGAGAGACTTGGGGGGAGGAGGTCAAAGCAGCCATGAGGTGTTCCCTGTGTCTCTGCCCTTCCCTCAGCACTTCAGTTTTGCACCTCTGCTGAGCCCCAGTGGAATCAGTTCCACAGCTGAGGGCAGGGGGATGTCTTCTCTGTTCAGGGGTGCTGGGTGAAATGAAGATACCTGCAGCCGTGCTGCTCTCTCCCAAGAGGGCCACACTGCTGCAGCTCTGCTCTCACCCTCCTGCCACCCACCTGCTCAATTCCAGCTCCTACTGGCAGCAGCAGAGCTCTGCCTGGCACTGCTGGGCTCTTTGTGCCCTGGAGGTTGGCACACCTGGGTAAAGATCCTTTACTAGATGGGATTTCATGAATCTTGGGCATGAGCACCACAGAAAGTTGTAATAAGGTAAAGAACTTGTTGTGAGGCCAAGGATGTAACAAATGAGTAGTAACCCACACCTGAGGATAATGGGTCTACCTTAGGCTACTCTTTTCTACCTTGAGAACTAAATGAGACTATCCTAGCTGTGAACACCCATTGGATTTGTATTGATCCATAGGCCCCAACTGGATTGCGGCAGCATGACTTCTTAATTCTTCATGTTGCAGACTAAACTCCTTCTGGTTTGGGCCTATTAGAGAGTAAGAGCTCTTTGGGCACAAACTGTTTGACCTCTGTTTGCATGGCAAGATTTTCGCCTGTAATTATTTACCAAATGTGCTGGGCTTCTGTGTATCCTAAGTAAGAAGAGCATAATTTATATTACCTAATTAAAAAAGCCAGATAAATTGGATTTTTTTTTTTTTTGAGAAGATAATGTTTATAGAGAGAGTGAGACACTGAAATATCTGAAAATATCTACTAACAGAAATACACAGAAACCTCTGTTTAACCACACTAAAGAGTCTCATTCTCTCCATGTTTTGGGCACCTTTGTCTTCCTTTGCATATATGAAAGGTGAAGTATTTGGCTAGTTCCCAACTGAGATTGCACACCCATGATTCCACCTAGCTTCTCTGCTCCAGCTGCGCATGCAGTTTTACCTGCTTTGTCAATGAAGGCACTGGTGAGCTGTGCAGCCTTGGCTGGTGCTAATGCTCGGCCTCAAAAATTTAAGTGATTAGGTGTTGGTGGCCACACTCTGGAATGGCTGCAGAAAGTTTGGCTGAAAATGTTTTCCGAAAACATGCATACATGCCATACATGCCATTCTCTTCTAATCTACCAACTAAACTTAATGAAGAATCAACCTTTCCTTAGACAAATGGTGCCTGACAACATTCTTTGAGTCATATTCAGGAGACATGACTACTACAGACAGTTAGAGAGAGGGTATTTTACAGCAGGCCTGATGACTTGCACAGATATTCAGGGGCCCCACCAAGAGACCAACGCCAGTATTTGACTCAACTGGCACTCCCAGACCTGAGACAACCCTACAGTTACCCCTGCCAGTGATGCCCTATCTAGGCATTTTGGAGCCCAGAAGGGACTTCTAGGCTGATTCAGGTATAAAAGGGTCACCCTACCATTAGTAAAAAGGTATATGTTGCACATGCAAGTGGGGCATGGCTGTCTCTTGCTGCTTGCAGTGGAGGGAAGCTCCACTGCTGGGCAGTTAGCACATGAACAAACTCCTTTTATACCCTGAAGGTTGCAGAGAGGCCTGTGGTTCTAATATAATGCCTGACCAAAAGCTTGTTTTAGTAAATTGAGAGCACTCAGAAAGCTTTATTTCAGACCTGAGGCAAAAATATCTCATGCTTTGGGGAGGATGTGCATGGCTCAGAAGCAACGGAAGTTCTTCATAGGAGTGGGGCAGGCCCTGTGCCCCAGTCAGTCCCTGTACCCACATGGTTGTTGTCATTGTCATCTACTTGCACCTTCCCCAATAAGTAGCTATGTGGAAGAGAGACCCCTCTGGCTCTGCTGGAGTGGCAGGGGAGCGTATTCCTCCTGCAATCCAAGAGCATTTCTGCAGTGCTTCACGGACTGTATGGGTCAGGAAAAGACTATGTGATGAACACATTTCAAGAGATTTGCAAGTTCTGAGGAGACCATAGGTATGTCCCCCAGGAGGTCTTCTCTTTAAGTCAAGTGGCATGTGCTGTGAGGACTCTAGTTTTCTCAGCAGGAGTGGGAGCAGCCTATGGCAGAGATGCCATATGCATTGGGCTCTGGCACCCACCTGCAGTGCAGTTAAGGCAGGTCTGTGTATTTGGGAGGCATCTCTACACACACACAGAAGAGGTGCTTGTACACAAATCTCTCTCTCTCTCTCTCTCTCATGTGGCTGTGTTTCTTTGAACTGATCCAATATCCCACTGAATTGAATAAGAGGTGGGTAAAGCCTACAAGCCTACTCATGAGAGTACCAATTTGCATGAGCATGCCCTTGTTTTGAGGTAGACTACTGTTCTCAGCAGACTGCAGCCTTTTTTCTATCTCCTTTTGTATTTTTTTGGTATGAAAATACTGCATATACTTTGCCTCTCTAAGGTGTTCCCTTGTGATACAATAAATGCATCTCTGTCAGTGCTTTATACAGCCTCAGCACCTAAGGAAGAAAAGGACAAGCAGTGGGGATCGATGGTGCTCAGCATTCTGGTGGGAAGTCTTCTGGACGAGCCCCATATGCTGCAGTCTCTCTTCCTGCTCTCCACTTCATCCCCAGTGTGTATTACACTTGCCCCAGCTTTGCAGAGATAATTTGCACTCTCCTAGTTCATTAGCTGCTACCCCCTCCTGTCCATGGGCCAAAAAAAAAGCCCTTACTGTTCAAAAGAACACATGCAGCAATCATTAATGCTGACCCTAATTGTGCCAATTCAAACCACTCAATAGCTCTAATTAAAACCTCTCTTGTGCAGAGCACTGAACAGT